TAGATGGGGAAGAAGCAGGAACAGTGTTGGATTTCATTTTCTTGGGCTCCAAAATCACTGCAGACGGTGACTGTAGTCATGAAATTAAAAGATGCTTACTCCTTGGAAGAAAAGCTATGACAATCCTAGATAGCATATTAAAAAGCAGAGACATTACTTTGCTGACAAAGGTCCATATAGTAGAAGTTATGGTTTTTCCAGTAGTCATGTACAGATGTGAGAGTTGGACCATCAAGAAGGATGAATGCCGAATTGTTGCTTTCAAACCGCGGCGCTGGAGAAGACTCTTGAGAGTCCCTTGGACAGCTAGGACATCAAACCAGTCACTCCTAAAGGAAATAAACCCTGGATATTCATTGGAAGGACTGATGCGGAAGCTCCAATACTTTGGCCACCTGAAGGGAAGAGTTGACTCATTGGAAAAGACTCTTATGCTGGGAAAGATTGAAGGCAGAAGGAGAAGGGGACGACAGAAGATGACATGGTTGGATGGCATCACCGACTCAATGGACATGAGTTTGAGCAAACTCAAGGAGATAGTGAAGGAGTGGGAAGCCTGGCATGCTGCAGTTCAAAGAGTCGCAAAGCATCAGACACAACTTGGCGACTGAACAACAAATCTCACAAGATAAAACAAACAGCATTGTAAAAGTGTTAAAGTAAAACCAGAGCTGCATTTTTGCCCACAAACTGATGATGATATCAGTTTGCAGCCTAGGGTTTTAAGTGGGAAACCCCAAAACTGCAATCTGAAGTCTTACCTGTGGAGTGGACGCACTGCCTGGGACCTTTTCCCAACCGGGACTCCAGATCGCTGTGACTCGGGACTTCCCGTCACTCTCTTTAATTCTGGATGTTGGTCGACCCACTTTGGTGATGTATGTGCTGTTCCTCTTCTCTATGGTTTCTATTTTCCTTTTCTTTTCATGACTGTATATTGAAATTAAGCTAAATAATTCTTTATTAAACATTAAAGTTGTTTATCTGTGTGTGACGAGTGGTTTCTTTTGTTAACAAATCCTTTGAACCTGAAATGAAAGTGAAACTTTCAGCAAAACAGATACAAGCACCTAATGTTTATAGCAGCATTGTTTACAATAGCCAAGACATGGAAGCAACCTAAGTGTCCATCAACAGATGACTGGATAAAGATGTGGTGTGTATATACAATGGAACACCACTCAGCCATAAAAAAAATAATGATATTTTACCACTTGCAACAACGTGGATGGATTTGGAGGGTATCAAGCTTAGTGAAACAAGTCAGACGTCAGACAGAGAAAAAAAAATACTGTTTGATATCCCTTATATGTAGAAACTAAAAAATAAAACAATTAGTGAATATAACAAAAGAGAAACTGACTCACAGATATATAGAGAAAACTAGTGGTTCCCAGAGGGGAGGGGGAAGCAGGAAGGAGCAAGATAGGGGAGTGAATTAAAAGGTGCAAACAACTATATATAAAACACAAGGATATATTATGCAGCAGAAGGACTATAACCAATATTTTACAATAACTATAAATGTAGTAAAACCTTTAAAAACTGTGACTCACTTTATTGTACGTCCGAGGCTCATATTGTGCAGCAGCTCTATTTCTATTTCAGTAGGAATACAAAGGCTTTTGAACATCTTCCCCGGAGGGGGAAAAAATTCTCTGCTTCCAGTCGCTTCTGGAACACTGACTGCCTCCCTGCCCTTGGCTGTCATGGACAGACTTCCCTTTAATAAATGCCTCTTTTCTGTTCGTCCAGCAGGAGTGGTTTTCTGTTACCAGCAAGTAGAACACTCATTAATACATGTATAATAAAACAATAATTATAGCTGATACTTATTGAATGTTTATTGTGTGCCGCTCTTCCCAGGGCTTTATAAGGATTTTAAACCCCTCAACAGCTCTGCACGTGTGTGTGTGGGGGGTGGGGGTATGTATTATTATTCCCATTTCACAGTCAAAGAAACTGAGGCACAGATAGGTTCACTTGCTCAAGGTCGAACACAGCTAGTGGAGCAAGATTTTTTTTTTTATCAGTTGATATTTATTTTTACATTGTTTTAAGAATCTATACCTGGGAACACTTAAAAAAATTTTTTATTGGAGTACAGTTGATTTACAATACAATTTACAATACAATACTTTCAGTATAGCAAAGTGAATCAGTCATACATATATCCACTCTTTTTTTTTTAGATTATTTCCCCATATAGACCATTATAGTGTATTAAGTAGAGTTCCCTATTCGATACAGTAGGTCATTATTAGTTATCTATTTTATATATTGGCTTGGCCAGGAGGTTCATTTGGATTTCTCCATAATATCTAATGGAAACCCCCAAATGAACGTTTTGGCCAAGCCAATATAAAGTACTGTGTATATGTCAATCCCAGTCTCTCAATTTATCCCTCCCCCCACCTTACCTCCTGGTAATCATAAGTCTGTTTTCTTTAATTTTTCAAAAAATTAATTAGTTTATTTTAATTGGAGGCTAATTAATATTGTAGTGGGTTTTGCCATGCATTGACATGAATCAGCCTGGAGCAAGATTTTGTTTTGGCTGTTGTTGGTCTTCATTGCTTCGTGGGCTTTTCTCTAGTTGCAGCGAGCGGGGCTGCCCTCTAGGTGCGGTGCCCAGGCCCCTCACTGCGGCGGCTCCTCTGGGCGTGCGGCCGGGGCTCGAGAACACGGGCTCCTGGGCTTTAGAGCACAGGCTCAACAGATGCGAGGCAGGGGGTTTGTTGCTCCCAGATCAGGGATCAAGCCCGTGTCTCCTTCCTTGGCAGGCGGATTCTTTACCACGGAGCCTCCAGGGAAGCCTGTGGAGCGGGCTTCAGAGCCTGGGCCACTGTCCATTACAACAGAGTTTTCGGTTGAGGCCGCTGGAAGGTGGGGGCCTGTCTGGGGGCCTTCTGAGCACACTCCTCCAATCGCATGCTCACTCCAGCCCTGCATCCACACCGAAAACTCGGGCGGGAGGAGCTGGCATCTGAGGTGGAGGCGCTGCCCGCTGACCCCTTGCCCTGCCCATCCCCACGCCCAGAAGTAGAGGGAGCGTCCCGAGTGCCCGGGTCTCCGTGACGCCGCGCTTCGGGGCGGGTAAACATTAAACCCACTGGTCGTCCTTCCTCCGAGTGCGCAGAGATCTCTGGAACCTCGGAAGAGGCTGGAAAGCGGACAAGACTGGTGCGGAGGTGCAGCCTGTGGTCACTCCCCTTCCAGAATCGCTCTGGGGGCGCTTCCTTCAGACCAGCCGCGCATCCTGCCTCCCACTCGGAGGCTGAGCGCCACGGCTAGGGGCCTGGGCTGGGAACTGCACACTGGCCACCTGCTCCGGACCTGACCGCCACGCCTCCGGTGTTCTGTCTGTAAAATGCGGCTCGTGATAACCCCACCCAGAGGAGAAGATGGGATAATACATCCAGAGGGCTGCAAAACCCGGACGGGGTTGTGAAAATGTGTGTGTAGTAAGCCAGAAAAGCAGGGTCTTTGTTTTTCTCCATAAGGGAGAGAAACCACGTCCTGAATACATCATTGAAAGTGAAGTCGCTCAGTCATGTCCGACTTTTTGCGACCCCGGGGACTGTAGCCCACCAGGCTCCTCTGTCCATGGGATTCTCCAGGCAAGAATACTGGAGTGGGTTGCCATTTCCTTCTCCAGGGCATCTTCCCGACCCAGGGATCAAATCCGGGTCTCCTGCATTGGAGGCAGACACTTTGAGCCACTGGGAAAAATCTTACCTGAATGTAGGCTGTTTCATACATCTCCTGTGATCCCCTTCTTTGAATTTTTATTTTGTTTTGCTATTTTTTAAAAAATAGTGGTTTATTGAGTCTATTTATTTTTGGTTGCACCGGGTCTTTGTTGCTGCCACGGGCTTTCTCTAGCTGCAGAGGGTGGAGGCTGCTCTTCCTCGTGGCTCGAGGCTTTCTCACTGCGGCGTCTTCCCTTGCTGTGGAGTATGGGTTTGGCTGCTCTGCGGCAGGTGGGATCTTCCCAGACCAGGGATTGAACTGTGTCCCCTGCCTTGGCAGGTGGATTCTTAACCACTGGACCACCAGGGAAGCCCTGTTTTGCTTTTAAATTGGGGAAGATAGTCTCCTGGTAGCCTAGCGGTTAGGATTCTGGACTTTCACTGCCAGGGCCAGTATATTTCTTACTTGGTACAAATTTGGCCCAGGTTCGCCCCCTAGTTAGGGAGCTGGGACCCCCACATGCCTCAACTAAAGATCTTATGTGCCAACACTAAGACCTGGAGAAGTCAACTAAAACAAATAATTTTTTAAAAAATAAGTAAATTGTGAAAGAGAAATACCAAGGTGTTAAATGGATTCGCTCTGTGTGATGAGACTACAGGTTATTTTAATTTACTTTTTCTTTTTTGGATTCAGGCTTTCTAACATGAACCGAGATGATTTATATCTTTAAAAACATACCTTACTGTACCCATATAAAATATTTTTACTATTATTTATTTCAAAGTGCTTTGGCAAGTATAGAGCCCATAAAGGTAAGCATGTGAGTACTCACCTAAATCCTAGAGCCACGTGGGGGAGACATCTGTGACTTACCTCCCCGTCACCCACCCCCGTCCTGGCCTTTCCAAACAGGGTGGGTAGGCTGGGACCTTATCCTGTCTCTACGGGTGGGCCTGGATTCTCTTATATCAACCACTGGGGTGGTTGGTTTAGGGAGCCCATGAAGGAGATTTGCCTTTTCATACTATACAAGGGGTTCTCCATGCAAAAATATTGTAGTGCGTTGCCATTTCCTTCTCCAGTGGACCTCATCTTGTCAGACCTCTTCACTATGACCCATCCATCTTGGGTGGACCAGCACTGCATCGCTCTCACTGCATTTAGTTACACAAACCCCTTTGCCATGACAAGGGAAGGGGGTGGCAGAGGATGAGATGGTCAGATAGCATCACCGGCTCAAGGGATGTGAAATGGGCAAACTCTGGGAGACAGTGGAGGATGGAGGAGCCTGATGAACTCTGTCCATGGGGTCACAAAGAGTCAGACACGACTTAGGGACTCAACAACAACAATGGAGGTTTGGCCCATGAGATAATTCCAAGACTTTGTTTGGGGAAACAGATTTCCACGTTTTTGATATATTACAGGTGATATGTCATCTGGGAACCTCCACCTGGATGCAAACAGGGCCAAAAGGAGCTGAGAAATGAAAAGAGAGAGTAATCAGGTCCTAGTATATCACTGAACCACTGAGGAAAAAAGCCTCTCCCACATGTAGACTTGCCTGTTTCATGGGCCAATAAATTTCCTTTAGTTTCAAAACCGGTTTGAGGACTTCCCTGGCAGTCCAGTGGTTAAGAATCCACCTGCCAGTGCAGAGGACAGGGGTTTGATCCCTGATCCAGAAAGACTTCACGTGCCGCGGGGCAACTAAGCCGGTGTGCCAGAACGACTGAAGCCCACAGCTCCAGAGAAGCCACTACAAGGAGACGTCGTTTCGCAACTAGATACATCACAACTGCAGAGTATCGCAACCATGCATCGCAACTCAAGAGTAGCCCCAGAGACACAGCTAGAAGAGGAGCCTGCGAGCAGCAGTGGAGACCCAGTACAGTCAAAAATAGTAGTAAATAAATTTTAAAAAATTTGTTTAAGTTTGACAAATTAGATTTTGTTATTTGTGTGTATGTATATGCTAAGTCACTACAGTCAAGTCTGATCCTGTGTGATGCTATGGACTGTAGCCCACTAGGCTCCTCTATCCATGGGATTCTCCAGGCAAGAATACTGGAGTGGGTTGCCACACCCTCCTCCAGGGGAATCTTCCTGACCCAGGGATCGAACCCATGCCTCTTATGTCTCCTGCATTGGCAGGCAGATTCTTTACCACTAGCACCACTTGGAAAGCCCAGATTTCGATATTTACAACCTCTTAACTGATGAGCAAATGGGGACCCGAAGTAGGATACTGCAAATCACAGACCCTCCAGTGCAGAACTTGTGGGGCAGAGGAGGGCAATACAGCACATGTGGAACAGGGATTTTTGACTGGGAGGTTGGCTATTCTAAAATAGCTGGTGGTGAAGGGGTCAGTGTGGTCGGAGTCTGTTGAAACTTGGAATTCAAACCAGGGGCCTCCAAGGCTGCTCTTTTATAAACTCGTGGGAAAATCTCAGGATTTTGGAGGCTGCTCATTTCTTGCACTCATTAATAAATTCCTACAAGAAAGAGACATGCTTGACTCCTTTGAAATTGGACAGGTTGAAAGGAGAGAAAGAAAAACTAGGCAATTTAGACCTGAGGCCTGTGGTCCAAGTTGACAGTAAGCCCAGGATTCCAGCCAAAAACTGGAATTCTCCACGCTCAGCTATATTTAGGGTAAGCAGAGGCCAGCAGGTGGAGAACTTAGCAGGAGATGAAACTGAAGGCTCCTCAGGTCCCTCCTAAGCACATTCCATGAAGCATTCTTTGTCTGAGATGATTTTTGGGGGGACTATGCCACATTACCTGCAGAGTGTTAGTTCCCCGACCAGAGATTTAACCCAGGCCATGGTTGAAAGCACCAAGTCCTAACCACTGGACCACCAGGGAACTCCTGAGCATTCTTTGTCTGACAATGACACCCAACTCCTCCTCTCTTTTTTTGGGCATTTTTTTTAATAACTTTTTTTTCCCATTTATATTTATTAGTTGGAGGCTAATTACTTTACAATATTGTAGTGGTTTTTGCCATACATTGACATGAATCTTCCACACCCTCTCCAGCATTTATTGCTTGTAGACTTTTGGATAGCAGCCATCCTGACTGGCGTGTAATGGTACCTCATTGTGCTTTTGATTTGCATTTCTCTGATAATGAGTTGCCAACTCCTCCTCTTATGCTTCTGCAAACTGTAGACACGAGGTCAGCTAGATGGCTGGCTCCATACTGGCTATGACATGAAAAGGAAGAAGTCATCCATTAAAGGGAAGACAGGAGGCTGCACTGAGCCCAAGGCCAGTTGTCAGGAGACAAATAGCCATAGGACACTGTAAACACAAAAATGTGGCAAAGTCTCCATGTATTTGTTGTTGTTCAGTCGCTCAGTTGTGTCTGACTCTTTTGCACTCTGTGGACTGCAGCACACCAGGCTTCCCTGTCCTTCACCATCTCCTGGAGCTTGCTCAAACTCATGTCCATTGAGTCAGTGACGTGATCCAACCATCTCATCCTCTGTTGCCTCCTTCTCCTCCTGCCTTCAATCTTTCCCAGCATCAGGGTCTTTTCTAATGAGTTGGCTCCTCGCATCAGGTAGCCAAAATATTGGAGCTTCAGCTTCAGCATCAGTCCTTCTAATGAATATTCAGGAGTGATTTCCTTTAGGATTGACTGGTTGGATCTTCTTGCAGTGCAAGGGACTCTCAAGAGTCTTCTCCAACACCACAGTTCAAAAGTTCTTCGGCGCTCAGCTGTCTTTATAATCCAACTCTCACAACCATACATGACTACTGGAAAAAATCATAGCTTCGACTAGATGGACCTTTGTTGGAAAAGTATTGTCTCTGCTTTTTTAATACACTGTCTAGGTTTGTCATAGTTTTTCTTCCAAGGAGCAAGTGCCTTTTAATTTCATGGCTGCAGTCACCATCTGCAGTGATTTTGGAGCCCAAGAAGAGAAAGTCTGTCACTGTTTCCACTGCTTCCCCATCTATTTGCCATGAAGTGATGGGACCAGATGCCATGCTCTTCATTTTTTGAATGTTGAGTTTTAAGTCAGCTTTTTCACTCTCCTCTTTCACTTTCATCAAGAGGCTCTTTAGTTCCTCTTTGCTTTTGCCATAACGGTGGTGTCATCTGCATACCTGAGGTTATTGATATTTCTCCTGGCAATCTTGATTCCAACTGAGCTTCATTCAGTTTGGCATTTCACATGATGTACTGTGCGTATAAGTTAAATAAGCAGAGTGACAATATACAGCCTTGATGAACTCCTTTCCCAGTTTGGAACCAGTCCGTTGTTCCACGTCCAGTTCTGACTGTTGCTTCTTGACCTGCATACAGGTTTTAGAGGAGGCGGGTGAGATGATCTTATATTTCCAACTCTTGAAGAATTTTCCACAGTTTGTTGTGGTCTACACAGTCAAAGGCTTTAATGTAGTTAATGAAGCAGAAGTATACATTTTTCTGGAATTCTCTAGCTTTTTCTATGGTTCAACAGATGTTGGCAATTTGATCTCCTATTCCTCTGCCTTTTCTAAATCCAGCTTGTACATCTGGAAGTTCTCAGTTCACATACTGCTGAAGCCTAGCTTGAAGGATTTTGAGCATTACTTTGCTAGCATGTGAGATGAGTGCAATTGTGTGGTAGTTTGAACATTCTTTGGCATTGTCCTTCTTTGGGATTGGAATGAAAACTGACCTTTTCCAGTTCTGTGGCCACTGCTGAGTTTTCCAAATTTGCTGGCATGCTGAGTGCAGCATTTTAACAGCATCATCTTTTAGGATTTGAAATAGCTCAGTTGGAATTCCATCACCTCCACTAACTTTGTTTATAGTGATGTTTCCTAAGGCCCACTTGACTTTGCACTCTAGGATGTCTGGCTCTAGGTGAGTGATCACACCATCGTTGTTATCTGGGTCATTAAGATCTTTTCTGTATAGCTTTTCTATGTATTCTAGCCACCTCTTCTTAATATCTTCTGCTTCTGTTAGGTCCTTACCATTTCTATCCTTTATTGAGCCCACCTTTGCATGAGATTTTCCCTTAGTAGCTCCAATTTTCTTGAAGAGATTTCTAGTCTTTCCCATTCTATTGTTTTCCTCTATTTCTTTGCATTGATCACTGAGGAAGGCTTTCTCATCTCTCCTTGCTATTCTTTGGAACTCTACATTCAGATGGGTATATCTTTCCTTTTCTCCTTTGCCTTTAGCTTCTCTTCTTTTCTCAGCTATTTGGAAGGCCTCCTCAGACAGTCATTTTGCCTTTTTGCATTTCTTTTTCTTGGGGATGGTTTTGTAGGCTTAGTAGGTATCTGACCTATTTGCCATAAAAGCCATATACCTTTCAGAACTTTGCTAAAGAAATCCCCATGCTGCCAAATATCAGCCTACCATCGTCCAAGCCCTAAAGTGTTCTTGGGCCCTCAAGTTTGCATCTAACAGGAGGTGGAAGGCAAAAGTGACACAGCCCCCCCCCAGGGAAGCATCTCCAAGGCCTATCTCAGACGTGTCTATTGAAGACAGGGAGGTGGATGGACAGCCAGGAGGATGGATGAATCTTCAGGAAGACTTTACCAGAGATGATCAAAGTCTTGTAAGTATGTGGTCAGGGGAGGGGGAGAAGGGAGGAGATCTCTCCACCACCCTGGGTACAGACTCTTCCTACTTATTTGGGATGCCTTCCTTCCTGTCTCCATTCTGGAAATGCCACGGGACCGCTATGCTGGGCCTGCTTGAATCCGCTCTGATCTCTGGAATCCAGCTCCCAGCGGACAGCCTTGACCCTTCCTTTTGGCCTGAAGCCTTCTCCAGGGTTGAGAATAGGAAGCAACACTCTCCCTCTAGGAGCTTGGAGCCGGCTCACAAGTCCCTTTAGAAATAAAGGACAAAATAGAGACATTGTTCCTCAGACAATGGGGTTTTCTCACAGGGCAGGCGGGCCTTTGTGAGGAAGGCTTCCTTTAAGTCCAGCAGGGGCTGGGAGACACTCTGGTCATTTCTTAGGGTACTGAGCACAGGGTTGACTGCCGGGGGTGGGCGCGGGGGCTGGGACTGCAGATGAGCTGGAAGCTTGGGTTAGCACTGCCTGGGAGACCTGCCTGAGACCAAGACAAGGAGGGCTGAGCCAGGATGAGGCTCAAGGTGGGATGGCGGGGCTGCGGGCAGAACTGGGAAAGGGGAAGTCCGGGACCAGGGCTGAAGCTAGCGCTGGTCCTGGGAAGGGCTCTCGAGCCCTGCTATTTGCTTTTGACTGTGCTGGGTCTTCGTTGCTGTGAGTGGGCTTTCTCTAGTTGCGATGCGCGGGGGTTCCTCTCTAGTTGCAGTGCAAGGGCTTCTCATTTCGATGACTTCTCTTGTCGTGGGACACAGGCTCTAGGGTGTGCAGGCTTCAGTAGCTGCAGCCCATGGGCTCTTGAGCACAGGCTCAGAAGTCGTGGTGGGCAGGCTTAGCTGCTCTGAGGCCCGTGGGATCTTCCTGGCTCAGGGATCGAACCTGTGTCCCTTGCATTGGCAAGTGGATTCTTAACCACTGGACCCACCAGGCAAGCTCCTGTTTCCGTTTTCTTAGTTCCTTCCCTCTCAGCACGCCAGGCTCCTCTGTCCTCTCCTGTCTCCCAGTTTGCTCAAATTCATGTCCATTGAGTCAGTGATGCTATCTAACCATCTCATTCTCTGCCGGCCCCTTCTCCTTTTGCCTTCAATCTTTCCCAGCATCAGGGTCTTTTCCAATGAGTCGGCTATTTGCATTAGGTGGCCAAAGTATTGGAGCTTCAGTTTCAGCGTCGGGTCTTCCAATGAATATTCAGGGTTGATTTCCTTTAGGATCGACTGGTGTGATCTCCTTGCTGTCCAAGAGACTCTCAAGAGCCTTCTCCAGCACCACAGATTCAAAAGCATCAATTCTTAGGCGCTCAGCCAGTGGTACCTGGGGAAAAATCACCCAGACACAGGGGGCCCAATGCTGGCCATGTAGTGCAACTAGAAGTGTCCATCCCCAAAAGTTTTGGGGAGACCAGAGGTCAACGGCAGGCATGGGGGCCCATAATTGGTGAAATGGGGTCCATTCAAGTCACCGTGGCCTCGGCCCCCGGCCTCTGTTCAGGCTGGGACGGGCAGACTCCTCATTCCTGGGGATATGCCCCTGGCCCACTGACAAGGACATTGTCTCAAGCCTCTTTGTATCCCTAACCCCTTCCCTGGAGTTTGTGAGCAATTACAGAACCCCTCCAAGGTCTGAGACTCCGTTCTGGATGCCTTCACTCACAATTTCTAATGCAAAAGTGTTGTTTCCCGAACTTGATTCATTTATCACCTCCATGATTTTTGCCATAATAATCTAACTCATTGAATACATAAATATAATATTTAATCAATGCTTTGATTCACTTTCTAAAAACAAACTTATGTCAGGAAGGACACTCCATACCACTCATAAATAAAGAAGCAATATCAGTTGCTAAAAATACAAGAAAAAAGAAAAATAAATACAAAGACACTCTTTGTTTTTGGTGCTAGTTCCCAGTTCTGGTTCCAGTCATACTGACAAGCTGTCCTCATATTGTGTCTGGGCCTCTGTTTTCTCGTCTCTAAAATGGAGTTGTTGGAAGATAATGTATGCAAGATGCCTGGCCCAAGGTCAGCATGTCCTAGGTAAGACAGAATTCTGGGCCAGGACTTTCCTGGTGCCTCACATGGTAAAGAATCCGCCTGCCAATGCAAGAGACATGGGTTCGATTCCTGGATCAGGAAGATCACCTGGAGAAGAAAGGGCAATTCACTCCAGTATTCCTGCCTGGAAAATCCCATGGACAGAGGAGCCTGGTGTGCTGCAGACCATGGGGTCTCAGCGACTGCGGCACGACTTAGCCACTAAACAACAACTGGTCCTGCTGGTGCTGCCAGCTTCTCTGCTCAGGCCTCAGTCTCCTCCAGTCCTGCCCTGCCTCCCTTTATCCTTTAGAACTTTTAGAGCTTTTAGAGTTTCCTGTGCACTTTTCAACCACTGTCTCACATTAGTCTGCCTCTCAGCATAGGACAGTGGAGACAGTGGAGGACAGAGGAGCCTGGTGTCCTGCAGCCCATGGGGTCCCAAAGAGTTGGACACTACTTAGCAACTGAACAGCAACAACGGCCTGTGATAAGGGCAGCTGACCTCTGCGGGTTAAGGGGCCCGCCGGCCACAGGGCTCAAGTGATTTGTTACCAGGCTGGAGTCTTGAACCTGGGCTGTCTGATTCCACCAGGTGGAGAGTGTGGGCTTCCTCCTCTGGTTACTGGGTAGACAGGTCGTCACCTCTGGATGGGATGCGGCCAGCAGGAACCCTGGCTGGCTCTAAGGAGAAAGAGGCAACAGTCCCATTCCAGGAGAGGAGGCTCCCCTCCTTAAGCCACCCCCTCCGAGGTATCCCTCGGTTTCCTCAGCCCGAGCAGAGGAGAGAACCCAAGACCAGTGGAGAGGGGGCCGGGCCAGTGGTCTGGTTGGAGGGGGAAGGCGGGAGGGGACAGGGAGGAGAGTCAGACACACGGGTGGACAGCGGCGGAGAGACACGTGTACAGAGATGGGGCGAGACAGAGGTCCCAAAAGAGACAGGTGGGTTGTCAGACAGAGAGGCAGACAAGTCGGAGGGCGCGAGAAACAGCCACAAAGAGACATAGCAGGAAGTTGGAGCCAAGGATAAGGTCAACCCCAAAGAGACGGAATCAGAGCCGGCGCTCGCGGAGAGAAAGGACAGAGCGCGGCCTCGCTGGGAAGCGCCCGCCCCAACCCCGCGCAAGGGCGGGAGCCGAGCCAGGGCTCAGGAAGACGGAGGGCGCCCGGCTCCCCGGCAGGCGGCGCGCTGGCCGCGTGGCCGGACCCGCCAGCAGGGCCCGGGCCGGGGGCGGGGGCGGGGGCCGGGTAGGGCTGCCCAGGCCGCGCGCGTGCCCCGCGATCGCCTTTATAAGCCCGCGGGGGACTTGGCCGGGGCAGCGTCGCGCTCCCGCCCCTCCGCGTCCGAGCTCCCAGCGCATCGACCCCGCGTCCCTTGCGCCGGGACAGACCTTCACCCACCAACTCCGCGCAGGTAAAGACTCGACGCTGGTTCCTGGCTCTCCGGGACCCCCGGGATGTGGAGCATCCCAGGCCCCCTTTCCGCATCCTCTCCTCGCCGGGCGAGGGCGGCGAGGCTGGATATCAGGGGCCGGGCAGGGACCTCCGCGCCCCCCCACACCGCTCAAGGCAGCCCATTCGGAACCTCCAGCCACCTGTCCCGCTCCCGCGCTCGCGCGCATCTGCGGCTTCCTGCGGGCGTGCTGGGCCGGCCCAGAAAGTGGACGTGGTCCCAGCGGAGCCGGCGAGGCGGGCTGACTGCCCTCGAGTCGGCCGCTGCAGCCCTGGGGTCTCCCGGCGGCTGCCTGAGACCCCCGTCTTCGGTCTCGGCACCGCCTCCGGGTGCCCGGTGGCTGGGCGGCTTCTACGGCGCCCCCTTGGTCAGCGATCAAGAGACTCGGGTTGCCTACCCCAGAACTGCCAGCCATCTAGCAGCCTCTAGATCTTGGCACAACCGCCAGGGGCGGGGGCTGGCCTGTTTGGGTAGGCTCCAAAAGTAGTTTGGGCCGGAGCTGGGAACCGTAGAGAGAGGGAGGCACTTCGGTCCGGGAGCCGCAGGGGGACGGGGAGGGGGGCGGACATCCGGCGTGTTGGAGTCTGTTTGGAAGTCGTGGGGGGGGGGGGGGGGCGGAGCACAGCGGCCTTGGGGCCGAGCTCTGGAGTCCCCCGAAGCTGGGGAAGTTTGCTGCGATCCATCTCTGGGCGTAGGCAGGTGAGCGGATGGCCCGGGGTGGGTTCCGGCGCCTGGTCTTGATAAGAAAGGGTTAAAAGCCTGGTCACAATGGGGGGGCGGGTAGCTGAGCGGAGCTCCAGCCTTCCCCCGCATTGTTTCTTCGGACCCTTTTTCAATGCAAAATGGGGCTGGGGGAGGGGTCTTTACAGCGGCCAGTGGGTGGAGATCTCTGGAGGGTGCAGTTCTCTGGCTGGAAAGGGCCTCTGGGCTCTGGGGGAAAAAAGAAGACTTCCAGGTGGGCCCGAGTTCCCTGGTAGGCAAGGGGTGGGCTTCCACACCAGCAAAGTTGACGTTTGTTGAACACCTACGCGTGCCAGGCTCCGACGCTTGACATGCATCATCTCCTTTACAAACAGGGAAACTGAGGCCTGAAGAAGTTAAGCAAGTCTGAGGCCCGGATTTGAAGCCAGACTCTAAACCCTCCAACCTCATCCCCCTGCTAAGATGAGGGGCTGATCTTGGTTCCTCCTTCTGGGTCTTCTGGTGTTCAGTCTTGCCTCCCCCAACGCCCTAGACCTGTCCTCTTCAAATCTTCCGACCTCCCCAGAGTGTCCTCCCCACCCTGCCCTCTCCACTCCCTGCCCCTGCCTTTCTTGTCTCTCTGTCTCCTTGTCTCTTCCTGAACTTCATACATCCGAACTCCATAAGCAGAAAAGGTTCTTGGACACGGCTTCCCGACTTCCCAGCCCCTGGAGTCAGATATAGGCTTCAGGGATGGCCCCTGTCTGTATCCGTGACCCCACCTGAAGGTAAGGGAGTGTACCTCTCTCGTAAGACTGCTGTGAGCAATAAAACTGAACTGAGGGCAGAAACAAAACGCCGCCTCCATTCAAAAAGCATTTTAATACCCCAAACCCTGTCCTAGGTGCTGGGAATGCAGCGATAAATTACACAGACATCTGCACACTTGTATAACAAAACTTTTTCAGGCTCTGAAACTGACACTTTAGAAAAAGAATCAAGCAGTTCACAAGGAAGGAGATTAACAGGCAGTAACATGGGTAAAATGGATCAGCCAACCTTTAGTTTTCACTAACAGAAAAAGGCAACCTAGCTGTGTGACCTGGGACAAATTCTGTTGCTTGTCATGCCCCAGTCTCCTCCTTTTAGCTGAGATTAGTAAATAGTATGATTAACCTATGCAAAGTGTTGAGCTGGTGCCTGTGCTTAAGAAAATTTTGGCTCTCATCAGCTCTAATCTCAGCGGAAAATGCAAACTTGAGATGGGGTGTAGGGTGTTTGTCTCGGCCCCGAACCCTGGAAACCTGTCACCCACCGCCTAGGCCCTGCCCATTCCCCGATGGGTTGTGTTGTTGAGTGGCATGGTGTCCTCCTTGTTCATAGTCAAGTGCCGCCTCCCATCATCCTAGACTCAGCCTTGGCCCGGAGCCTGGAGTTCGGTGCTGGGAACAGGCTTGGGACTGTTAACCTCCACAGTCCCTTCTGCCTGGATGTGTCCCAGCTTTGAAATGAGGTGAAATCAAACTCAAGCCCTACCGGTCCTTACATACCTGACTGCCCTGCAAACCGGATGCAGTCCTGCAGATGAAGAAACTGGTCCTGGAGAAGGGAGGTGATTTGCTCAACAACAAGAGATGCTACCTGAGGAGCTGGGGCTGGAGCCCTGGTGACCAGCTCCAGTGATCTTGGTATTTTACACACCTTTGGGGATGAGGCCTCCGAATCCGGGGGGAGGATCCAGTGGCATAGCTCAGAGTGCTCACTTTGAATAGGTCCAGCTGGAGTTATTAATACAAAGCAGAGCTTGAAGAGAACATTACGGGGAGAGTGAGCAAGCTGGGCTGAGGACCAGCACTCAGAATCTCCGCGTGGCCACAGGAATGCAAACTCAGCTTTCCAGTGCTATGTCGTGGTCCTTGTCCTCTGCAGGCTGGAGCTAGGCTGTGCAGTGTCTATTTTTGGTGGTTTTTTTTTTTTAGGGATGTCCTTCCTTTTTTGAGGGCTTCCCAGGTGGCGCTAGTGGTAAAGAACTCGTCTGCCAATGCAGGAGACGTCAGAAACGTGGGCTCCATCCCTGGGCCAAGAAGAGCCCCTGGAGGAGGGCATGGCAACCCACTCCAGTATTCTTGCCTGGAGAATCCCATGGACAGAGGAGCCTGGCAGGCTACAGTCCACAGGATTGCTTTTAGAGGGCAGCTGTGGGCAGTAGACTGGGTTCATTTCCAGCACTGCCGTATGACTAGACAAGTTTAGAGCCTCAGGTGAGGAAATCATCCGTCATATGGGTTACTAATATATAGTTTGCAGAGTTGTGAAGGGTTGGCAAGATTATAATGGTTTTTCACCATTGAATGGCTCAGCTGAAAATGACCACTGTTGGGGACTGTTGTTGAGAAGTTAATATTCTCTGTGAGACATTTTTGGCCACTACCAGGTGATCCATGAGGGCCAGACGGAAGGCCCTATGTAGGTTACAAAGGCCTCGACAGGAGGGAAAAGAATGGCTTTAGGATCAGCGCCTGGGGTTCCAGCCCTAGCTGTGTGACCTGCAGCAACTCGCTTGGCCTCTCTAAGTGCTGGGTTCCTAGTAGGGATTCGGCAACTCTTCTCTGATGCTCAGCATCCAAAGAACATTCAGGAGTAGCCTTCCTATTTTTCCACCCCCTCATGCCATCCCCCAACATTTCCTAATTGCTCCCAGAAAAACATCATGCTTAAAGTTTTCCATGCTGAAATTCTCAACCTCACTGTGGCATGAAATCAATTGTTTGCATTTAATTTGACTTCTCAAATTAAGGGGTAAAATTTGAGATGAGGGTAGGGGGTGCAGGAGCGGGGGAGGAGTTGAGGAAAATGAAGTTAAACCAGATGTGTTTTTGTTTAACTGTCGGATGGTGGTTAAACTGCCTGGGTATTTACATCGTTCCTTCTGAATTCCAGTAACTAAGAGTCAAGTTTCACTAAAAATTGTAGTGTTCCTTCCTGGCTACCGTGGACTTGTCCTCCCCGTTATTATTATTATTACTATTTTATGTTCATCTGAGGCCACAAAGTACTGGGTGCAGAAGAGACCTCATAGATGCCTAGAATTTCACAGTTGGAAGGCATTTAAAGACTGCTTCTGTCAACTGGCTACTTTGCAGACCAGGGAGACTGACACTCAGAGAGAGTAAAGACTTACCCTGGGTCTCCCATGACCTTTCTGAAAAGTATCCACTGTCTTGATTTTGGTCTGTATCATTTCCATGGCATATCTTCAATATACATCTATTTTTTTAAAGAAAGAATTACTGGTAAAATGAGGGGCAGGGAGACAGTTTAGAGGAAAGCAACGAACATGATTGATGGGTAGATAGTAGGTGATACAAAAAAGATACTAAAAAATTTTTAAATATTACCACTAAAAATGTCTCTGGTCTAGGGGACAAAAAATAAGGGGATCTTAGAGTCTTCAAGTATATAAAATTTTTAAACAAATTTTGTTAATACGGTTTTACATTTTAATAATGGATTAACTATGTGGAATTTCAACATAAAGAATTTTCAAAAAATATGACACATATTTGGAATATAAAGTCATTGAAATATTAAAAAAAAAAAGAATTGTTGAGGAAGGATACAGATGGTGTGAGCTGGTGGGAAAAGTCTGCAACTCAGGACAGAGGTTAAGCCCTTGAACTGGTACCCTCCCTGTGTGACCTTGGGCAAGTCACTTCCCCTCTCTGAGCCTCAGTGTCCGTATCTGTATCCAAGGATGCCTGAAGGGCATGAGCTGGGGATTTGGGACACCCCTAAGACTTGGCGTGGGTCTGATTTAGTTTGAGTTGGTCCTCAAACATCTGTGGCTGAAGTTATGGTAGGTCAGTCGCAAACTGCCCTCCTGAGGCAGCAGGGGGTGGGGGCAGGGGAATTGTTGACTCCTGTAGTGATTTAAAACTTGCATTTAGTTGTTGGTGTTGTGAAAACAGGCAATTTCGTTTTACATAAAAATAAGGGTTCTGGTTTCTCTGGGAAGATCAAAAGATGTGGCCACGCTGGGCTGCATCCCGGCCTGGCCGCCAGCAGCCGGTCCATCCTTTTGACCACAGTCCCCTCTGCACCCTGCTCTCACACCCAGCCCGTTCATCTCATTGCCGTTCCCGGCCTGCCTTCTGAGTCTGCAGTTTCTGAGCTAGGTGCATGTGGCTTGGGCTGGCCGTCACGAGGCTCGGGGGCGGAATGTGGGGCATAACGGACCCCAGCCCCTCTTCCGGGGCCTGGCAGCATCTCTGGAACATGTCAGCCAGGACGAGGACGCTCTCTTCCTGCTTTGCTGCTCCCGGGAAGGGGCTAAGGGCTCGGGAGTTTGGGGGCTGACCAAGCATCAGCCTGTGAGTCCTTAGGGAGCTGGGCTTGGGGTCCACCCCCTTGGGGACAGGCAACCCTGGGTGCTTCAGACTAGAGATTGCGCAGCCCCTTCAGGGAAGGGACTCCCTTGACATCTACCACCTTACCTAGTCTCCCGACAGGCCTGTGCACTAGTGATGCTTCACAGACAGGAAGCACCATCCTGCACTCTGAACCCACAGCGGTCTGTTTTTTCCCCTTTTCTGGGGGCCTAAAGTGAAGGGAAGTTGCTCAGTTGTGTCTGACTCCTTGCGACCCCATGGACTATAGCCTCCCAGCCTCCTCTGTCCATGGGATTTTCTAGGCAAGAATACTGCAGTGGGTTGCCATTCCCTTTTCCAGGGGTCTAGGCCCGCGGGGGACAGGCAGCATAACAGCTGCAGCACAAATCTCCAAATCGCCGCGTCTGAGCTTGAGGACAGTGAGGAAAGCCGGGAAGCCTCGT